TCTCACACACACACACTCTCACACACACTCTCACTCACACACACATGTTTAACTTGATTTTTTATATTACAAGCAAAAATAAATTATCACACCTGAGCTGCTTAGATAAAGTCAAAGTTGTTTAATGTAACACAAAATACAATGAAAGTGATCTGAACACTTTGTTTAAATGGGCGTGTCTCCTTTAAGATGAGAACATAAATGCCCACTGCTGTGATTGGCTGACATCTTTACAAAAGAAATAAGTATGATATGTGGGATTCTTTTGAAATCTTTTACTGTCGTTTTGAAGCTTGCAGTACATCACAATGAGTTCATGTCACATGACCTGTATTTCTACAGCACTTTACAGTACAGATTGATTCGGAGCAGTACAGCACAGTGATAAACAGGAGAATAACAATATAGCTCTTACAAAACCATTTCAGCCTTTAAATGAAGAAAAGTCTCCTGAAACCAAAACCACAGCTCATTATGTAGCTGTGTGTGTATTTCTTTGAGTGTATTATCTGTTTGAAGCGCCTCTGGTGATGTGTGTGTGTGTCGTCAGGCGGTCAGTGTTGTGTCAGAGGGCCTGGAGTCATTCGGCGGTCAGGGATACATTGAGGACACAGGGCTTCCCTCCATGCTGCGCGACGCTCAGGTGAGTGTGTGTGTGTGTGTGTGTGTGTGTGTGTGAGTGTGTGTGTGAGTGTGAGTGTGAGTGTGAGTGTGAGTGTGTGTGTGTGTGTGTGTGTGAGTGTGAGTGTGTGTGTGAGTGTGAGTGTATGTGTGTGATCTTCACCTGTGGTTCTCTGATGAGTTTTCAGTCGGTCAGATCTGCTTCAGCCCAACAGATGGCAGCACACACTAACTCAATCCTGCTTGATCTTTACACTCGCATTACACGCACACTACACACACACACACACATTTACTTATGAATCAGAATGCCAAAAACATTTCATAGACTAATATTGCTTTTCTATAAATACTAAAATTCTATAATTGCATTTATTACAAAAAATATTTTCTTTGACACTATTTTGAGCACAGATGATGTGGTTCTCAAAGGGAGGTTTGTGTCCCTCAGTTATGGTGTAGAAGGTGCAAACAAACACACACACACACATATTTATACACACACACACACACACACACTTATACACACACACACACACACACACACACATATATGAGAACAGCAGAACATATATATGTACCAGACTGAATTTTAAATAATTAAATGGTGTCAGTGCGATTATGCTGGGATATGATGCTGAACAGCACAGCAGTAAACACACACACACACACTGACTGACGGGCCTGTGTGTGTTAAAGCTAGTTTCTGCTCTCACGCATCTCTCTGTAACGAGGTGTAAACGCAGCGGCTGGGATTGATCTGCTGCAGCCTCTCGAACGAACGGCTGGACCGAGTCTGAACACACACACATCAGAGAGAGAAGATCGGAGATGAATCCAGACGTCCAGCAACACACGCGTGTGTGTGTGTATAATACACGCTAAGCTTAGAGTCCAGCTGCTCTGAACGTAATCTGGATCAGAAAGAGAGTGTGGAAATCCATGAGGCAATCCATCTTACTAACACACATGCAATTGTTAGAAACTGATGATTGTGTCATTTTAATTCAAATACAGGGGTAAAAAAGTTAAAATTAAATGCATTACTTTTGTTTGATATTAAATAAAATTTCAGTTTCATCCTTATTTTTCACTGTAATGGTTATACAAGTCAAGTGCAAAAAAAAATGTGTGTGTGTTTGTGTGTTTTATATATATATATGTACTACATAATACAAGCTCTTATTTGACCTATTTTCCATTTTTATTACATATTGTTGCTAAAATCCACCCTGAATCTGCCCTTGACGACTGGACGCTTCAGTGTTCTGTAATTGCAGAATGAGACCGAAACCAGCGCAGAACTGTAAACCCTGTCGTGTGTGTGTGTGTGTGTGTTTCTGTCCGCAGGTGTTGAGTATATGGGAGGGAACCACTAATGTTTTGTCTCTGGATGTTCTCCGCTCCATCGCGAAGTCGTCTGGGTCGGTTCTGCAGGCCTTCTTCACCGACGTCACCGTGAGAACACGCACGCACTAGCGCTTCATGACTCAGAAATGATTATTACTGCCTCAGTGTTGACTGTAATGTGATCCGTACTCTTGAACAGCTGCTGGTGTGTGTGTGTGTTTGCAGGAGCGTTTGCTGGCGGCCGAAGCGTCTGCTGCTCTGCGTCCGGCCGTCACATCTCTGCGCACATCGCTCTCGGCTCTGAAGCGTTTCGCTCAGACAGCAGCGGCTCGATCCGCGGGAACTCTGGGGCTGTCAGCGCGAGACCTGGCCTACAGCCTTGCTCGCATTTACATGGGTAAAACACACACACACACCTGGCCTAGAAGTCAGGTCACCTTTATTTATACAGCGCTTTTAACAATACAGATTGTGTCAAAGCAACTGAACAGCATTAATTAGGAAAATAGTGTGTCAGTCATGCAAAAGGACAATAGTAAACACTAATTTTTGAGTTAAAGGCAGTTCATCATTGAATTCAGTGATGTTAACATCCAGTTTAAGTAGTATCTGTGCAATCAAGTCCACGATATCGCTGGATATTAAGTGTCCCCAACAAAGCAAGCCAGAGGAACCAAAACTCCATCAGTGACAGAATGGAGAAAACACCTTGGGAGAAACCAGGCTCTGTCGGGGGCCAGTTCTCCTCTGACCAGACCAAACTAGGGATGCAGCGATTAACCGGTTTCGCGATTAACCGCACTTTAAAACGTCATGGTTAATTAATCGTAAAGGCTTCGCTACACCGAGTGTTTCTGTTGCACAGAACAGAACTGTTGCTAGTTGTGCAAAACTAAAACAAAGTTACACTAGCGGTGCACCATCTTAAAATGCTGTGCTTATCAGAGAAACAGAGCTACTACACACACTAGAGGAACTATGACAGAGCAACCAAACAAGCTTTATTTCACCAGAGAAATGACTGAAGTCGATCGTGTGGGAGTATTTTGGGTTCACCAAGAATGGCCAGGGTGTCATTTAAATATTGCTGTAAAAAACTGCTGCTTAAGAGCGAATACATAAGAGATAATACACGGCTTGCTGTACACTGAACGATTTTAATGCACGATGTGAAGATAAGAATCACCTGAGACGAAGCTACAGCTCGTTAGCTCCGCATTCTGCCCACTTCAGATCAGAAAGAGATGAAACAGTGCGGTAAGATCACATTTATTTGAATTAATTAATTATGACATTTAGCTACTTGAATTAATTATTTGAGAGGGAGAGAGAGAGGTGACAGCTGCCTGTGGGAATTAGCCTACCTGCGTCTGTGCATCTCTCCAGTAGGATATTAATCTATTTTATTAATAAAAGTCACGGGGCAGCATTCTCAAGAAGTGTGTGTCCTCCTGAATGTTTGTAGACGTGCGCAGCGCCATCTCTGATCTCACTAACCAAAATAATAGACATGATTTTCTCGGGCCACATGTAAAATCACATGAATTATTATAAATATTATTAAAATGAATAGGCTACGTATGGATGACACTTGATTACAATATTTCGATTTATTTCCATCATTAGTAACAGTTGCCCCTGTGGGACAAATACAGTTAATATTAGTCGTATATTAATAATAGGCTACTTCATTAACTTTGTTATTTACTATCCCTGTTGTAGTATTATTCAGAAGTAAAAATCAACAATATTTTTTTCACCATGTTTCCAAAGTCTCTGCCCCAGGTCCAAAAGAAATGTAAAGAATGTAAAAACTGAAAACACTAAATACTTCTGTGATCTATTTCCATTTGTTATTTTCAAAAGGGAAATACTGTCATGGATGTTTACAGAGCAGAGGTCACCTTTTTTAATTCTAATGGGAGAGATGGACTTTTGTTTGTCTTTATTATTATTATTTTGTGCTGTGGGCCTATTATTGGTTACTGTGTTGTTTCTGGTTCAAAAGGCAGCAATAAATAACACTTTAATATCTAAGTGTTCATGTGATTTTATACATTAGTAATGTTGGGAAAT